GGGGGAGAACAAGGAGTGGCGTCACCAGAGTGAACAACCGGCCTGCTCAACCGTGCTCGCTGACCGGCGTGGAGGATGAGCTTGCCGTCAGAGGCGACACCCATCGACGTCGATCTCCTGAGCGCCCTCGATGAACTTGGTAATGACGACGGGGTGGTCGGGGGAGACGTTGCTGGCGGCCTCGAGCTTGTCCTTGAGATCCTCCTGGCTGCGAATGACGGTCATGGCAGCACCGGAAAGAACGTAACTGGGGCGGACGAGGACGGGGTACCCAACCTCTGTGGCGAATGCCTCGGCTTCAGCCACAGATGTGAGTTCCTTCCAGGCTGGCTGATCAACACCAATGCTGTCGAGGATCTCAGAGAACTTCTGCCTGTCTTCGGCCTTGTCAATGTCCTTGGGGTCGGTTCCGAGAACGTTGGCACCGCCGGTCTCCTGGAGGCGGAGAGCGATGTTCTGGGGAAGCTGGCCGCCCACGGACACAACGACACCGGATGCCGACTCGAGCTCGTAGATGTCCATCACACGCTCATACGAGAGCTCTTCAAAGTAGAGCTTGTCCGCGGTATCGAAATCGGTGCTATAGGTCTCGGGGTTGTACTTTTTGCGAGTTAGCATAGGCACTGGATGTTAAACATATGCATGAGCGTGTTCTTCTGTTCTGGTCGCTTGACATCACGCGCGTACTCACGGCGATGCGGGCGGTGCGGTGCAGAGCCGCAACATTTCCCATGCGCCACACATGGTGGCATCCACTGTGCAAAGAGCAAAGTAGAGACATGGGATGCAATGGAATCAAATGCTGCATGGGTAACATGTTTCAAACTTACATTGATCATGATCGTCTTATTTCCCATCTCTCGGAGGGCCTGAGTGGCGCTGACGGCGCACCAATCGAACTCAACGGAGCTGCCAATACGGTAGACACCACTGCCGAGGATGATGGTGCCCTTATCCTCAAAGGTGACGTCGTGGGATGAGGCGTTGTAGGTAGTGTACAGGTAGTTGGTGTCGGCGGGGAACTCGGCGGCGAGGGTGTCGATCTTCTTGACCCAGGGGCGGATGCCGAAGTTCTTCCTGACGGCGCGGACCTCGTCCTCGGTGCTCTTGACGGCGTTGCCAATCTGCCTGTCGGAGAAGCCGAGCTTCTTGGCCTGGAGGACCTGGTCCTTGGTGAGGGCGCCGAGGCCGCCGGCGTCCTGGAGCTCGCGGGTCATGTTGACAATGTTCTCGAGCTTGTAGAGGAACCACTTGTCAATTTTGGTGAGGTCGTGGACCCTTTCGACAGAGTAGTCGTGGTGGAGCATGGCCTGGCCGACGGCGAGCCAGCGGCGGTCGGTGGGGTTCTGGAGCTCAAAGTCGAGGTCCTCAAAGTGGTCGCCCTGGAAGCCGGCGAACTTGGGGTCGACCTGGCGGATGGCCTTCTGGAAGGACTCCTCAAAGGTGCGGCCGATGGCCATGACCTCACCGACGGACTTCATGGCGCTGCCAATGTCGCGCTTCACGTGCTGGAACTTGGACAAGTCCCATCGGGGAATCTTGGTGACGATGTAGTCGAGCGAGGGCTCAAAGTTGGCCGTCGTCGTCTTGGTGACGGCGTTGGGGAGCTCGGGCAGGGTGTGGCCGAGACCAATCTTGGCGGCCGTGTAGGCGAGGGGGTAGCCGGTGGCCTTGGAGGCGAGGGCGGACGAACGCGACAGACGGGCGTTGACCTCAATGACACGGTAGTCGAGGCCGTCGGGCTGGAGGGCGTACTGGACGTTGCACTCGCCCACGACGCCCAGATGCCTGACGATCTTGATGGCCGCCGAACGCAGCATGTGGTACTCCTCATCGCTCAGGGTCTGACTCGGGGCCACGACGATGGAGTCGCCCGTGTGGATGCCGAGCGGGTCAAAGTTCTCCATGTTGCACACGGTGATGCAGTTGTTGTTGGCATCACGAACGACCTCGTACTCGACCTCCTTCCAGCCCTTCAGGGACTTCTCGACCAGGATCTGAGGCGACAGGGTCAGGGAGCGAGCGGCCATATTCCTGAGCTCCTCCTCGTTGTTGGCGAAACCCGAGCCCAGACCACCGAGGGCGTAGGCGGCACGGACGATGATGGGGTATCCGACCTTCTCGGCGGCATCGAGGGCCTCCTCGATGGTGCCGACGGCAATGGACTTGGCGATGGGGATGTCAATCTCGTCAAGCGCACGGGCAAAGAGGTCACGATCCTCACTCGTCTCGAGCGTCTTGACGCTGGTACCGAGGACCTTGACGCCGTACTTCTCAAAGAGACCGAGGCGCTGCATCTGCACACCGAGGTTGAGCGCCGTCTGGCCGCCAAAGGACAGGAAAATGCCATCGGGCTTCTCCTTCTCGATCACGTAGCTGACGTATTCTGGGGTGACGGGCAGATAGTACACCTCGTCAGCGAGCGAGTGGTTGGTCTGAATGGTAGCGATGTTGGGGTTGATAAGGACAGAGGCGACGCCAGCCTCCTTGAGGGCCTTGAGAGCTTGCGATCCTTGATTGAAGCAGTCATGTTAGTCAATTGTGACTCTTAAAAGTTGTGACCTGGTCGTGAGTCATGTTCCTGAGGCAGGCACACAAACATCACGAACCACTGGTGAACAAACTCGCGGGCAGAACAAACCTGAGTAGTCAAACTCGCCGGCCTGTCCAATGGCGAGACCGCCACTGCCAATGACCAGGACCTTCTTCACGTCAACAAGCTCCTTGGGCTTGATGACACCGCTCTCGAGGTACGCCTTGGGGTTGGGAGCCTGCTGCGAAACGTTGAGGCGCACGGCGGCGGACTGGAACAGACGCTTCTGGTTGAGCCTGGCCTGCGCAAGCTGTGACTGGGCCGGCGTGAAGCTCTTGGAGGCGGCGGTCAGACTGGTGAAGCTGCGGACGGGCAGAGCCATTCGTCGACCGTGTCGGAGGACCGCCGGAGCTCGCCCGGCCAGGGAACAAGCCATGGCCGACGGCATTGCGATTGCTGGATTCGGAACAGAGGTTCAATGGCTCTTGAAATCGACAGGAGGGCAGGAGCAAACGAATTGAAGTCCAGGGCCAATTGAAGGGATTCTGGACCGAAAGGCAATGGGTGGTTATGCGCCGCGGCAGGAAGGTTTGTGACTCCTCCAGAAGATGTTTGTTTGGGAGACCTCTGATGGGATAGAGTCAGGATCAGACGGCTCTTCCGGGGCTGGGGAAGCTCAGACACAAAGACCCACGACGTCGACTCACCCAAATGGCGGTCCCGGTGAGTAACAGATAAGATAAGGAAATTTTTCTGAGCCTGAGTGGTTAGGGTGCCGCAGTCGGAGGCTGGGGCACCCGAAACGGCAGAGGGTCCCCTGCATGGGCCCCTGGAAGTCCCCTACCGCCAGGCGGGCGTTACAGGGGCCTGCCACTATCGCGGGCTAATCTGCCAACATTTGGAGCTGCCCCCCCTCCCCCCCCGGCTGAGGACGATCGAGATGATCTAGGATGGCGGAGTCCGAGCCAAGAACTGCCCAACGTGACTCAGAGGATAACCCGAATTCCGTTGATTGATTTTTTTTTTTTCTTGGACTTCCTTCAACTCTCTGACTTTGAGTCCACGTGTGGGCAGCAAAATCATTAAAATTTAAATTGACTTGGCAATCCCTTCACTGTTGTGCAATCGAGTCACATTGAAAATGCGGTCAGCCTGGCTCCTATCTCGGAGACAAGGCTGCTGCACTGCCCCGCAGTTCGGCAGCTGCCCCTCCATCGAGCACCCTGCTTTGCCTGCCCAGTATCGAGTCCGCTGAATTCCTGGTGCTGCCATTGGTCAATGGGTCACCTCCATGATGCAGATCGCGATCTGGGGTGAAGCATCACGAGCACACCGATCGCAGCGACTTGTCTAATGTTCTTGGTATTTTCTTTCCCGCCTTGCCTCATATCGCTCCTCATACAATCGTCACGTCTTCATCTACACATCTCTCTAGTTCTTGTCCAGGCGGACGGCGGCGTTCCTCTCGATGAAGTTGAGGTCGACCTTGTGGCCCAGCAGCTCGCGAATGTTCGAGATGCCGTACTTGATCATTGTCGGCCTCTCCAGACTCAGGCCCCAGCCGTACACCCGCATATCCTTGGGCAGACCCATCGACTCGAGCATCTCCGGTCGGAACATGCCACTGTTGCCAATCTCGACGAGCTTGTTGAGGCCCTTGTGGAAGCTAAAGATTTCCATGCTCGGCTCCGTGTACGGGTTGTACGCGGGCTTGAACTTGAGGTCCGTAATGCCCATCTTGTTGAAGAAGATCTCCATGAACTCCATGAGACCACCCAGCGTCAGGCCGTAATCAGCAATGACACCTTCGACCTGGTGGAACTCGGCCAGATGTGTCGCGTCGACGCTCTCGTTACGGAACACCCGGTCAATGGAGAAGTAGCGCGCTGGAGGCGGGCGCCCGTCGGGACCCTTCAGGCCCGCCAGCTTGTGCAGCATCGCTGTCGACACAGAGGTCGTGTGTGTGCGGAGGACGAGCTTGAGTGACTCATCCGCCTCCCAGGGGTAGCGGTACCCTATTGAGCCGTACTTGCCATCCTGGTGCACCTGCTTGACGTTCTCCCAGTACGTCTCATAGTCCTTCTTGTCATCCTCCGACTCGGGGCCAGGTCGGCCGGCGACCTTGGGGTCTGAGATGTAGAAAGTATCCTGGAGATCGCGGGCCGGGTGCTGCTGGGGCACGAAGAGGGCGTCAAAGTTCCAGAAGCCCGACTCGACGTACTTGTTGGTCGGCATCTCCTCGAAGCCCATCTCGAAGAAAATCTGGCGGAACTCGTGGCGGACCTTGTTCAGCGGGTGCAGGGCGCCCGAGTTTTGGTCCGCGCCGAGGGCCTTGAAGTTGTAGGGCTTGAAGTCGGCCGTCTTCCAAGCGCCGGACGCGATCATGTCGGCCGTCAGGTCCGTCTCCTCCTTCTTGATCTCGAGCGCAAACTCGGCGCCCTTTGTGATCTTGAAGCTGATGACCTTTTGCGTCTTGACGAGCTTGCGCTTCTTGAGCTCCGTCACAATTTTGGCGTCGTGCGTTTTCGTGTCCTGAATCTGCTTCAGCTGCTGCCGCGTGACATCCTGGATCGAGTCGGCCTGTTCGGGCACCATTAGCAGCATATCCTCGTCACTCGAGTGCCTGTCGGGCAACCTACAGTGGCAACCAGCTTGCCGTCCTTGCTCTTAGAAATCCACTTCTCCTTGAAGGCCTTGCCTTGTCCGTTCTTGGTCACGGCCTTGTCGCCGATGGCCTTCTCAAGATCGACCACGCTCAGACCATCAACAGCTTGACGGAGGGCCTCGAAGACACGAGCCTCGTGGCTGCCATGCTCAACGAACTGCTGACCCTCAGCCTCCAGAGTGACTTCTTCCTTCTCAATAGTCTCGTAAGACACCATAGACCGGCTGGCAAGACGGTCGAGAGCGGCCTTGGTATCGGCAAAGGCGGACTCGGGGAACGACTCGGCAGACAGGATCGGGTCCTTTTGGGACAGCGCCAGCAAGATGCGGGTCGCCAGGTCCCCCGAGGGGACGGTACTGCTTGTCGTCATGGCAATGGTATGGGGGTGTTCGGGAGCTCGTGGTTGAGGTGTTGCACTGTGTTGAGCTGCGACCTATGGCTTGAGTCACCGACGTGGTCTCGGCAGAAATAATTATGGCGCCTCCAAATGGCGGGGCAATCAAGAGCGGGCAGTGCGCCCTCCAGCGTTTTGGGGGAGGGGGATGGCAGGCTGGGCTGGTTAGGACTAGCGGTCTCGCCGCTCTTACCCTAGACAACCATGTCAGAGGGTGATGAGGAGGGCGTGCAATCTTGCGACGTCTGCTTTGTGCGAGATCCAGAGCCCATTGAGGTATTCTAAGAGGTCATAGGTTCTGAGGCAGCTTGTTTTCTTTTGCTGGATGTATCTACCAAGTGAGGGTCACTTGTCAAACGGCTCGTCTGCCCACACCACTTTGCCTTTATGAGGTCCATCACTGGCTGTACATTAAGGTTCTGGTCATATTGATTGATTTAGGATGTGGCCGTCTTCTTCAAGTCCCAGTATGCTTCCCGCGTTCATTTAGTGACGCAGACTTGGGCTTGCTGATTCCGTTTCAAGCTCGATCCGAAATTTTTGCTGTCTGTTGTGTCATTCACCTTGTTGTCATCCATTAGTCTTGCTCTTCTAGGACGCTGATGAGCCTTGATTTCAAAGTTCAAGACAACAATGCAAGGTCTGCAATGAGTTTTTGCTGCCCTTTGTATATTTGATCTTTCATATTAGGAACAGAGAGTCAGAGACCAGCTGTTCGACATCTGGCTAGGCTTACAGCGTTTCAGCGCACCTCGTCGGGGCAGTCGCCACTTCACTGAACGGTCGTTTTCAAAGTGTAATAAGACCGATGCGGAACTTGTCATTAAATAAGACTGCCTGCGATAGTTGTCTGTCAATGTTCTTTCGGATGAAGCACTGTCGGCCACCTAGTTTCGTGGAAACCCAGTTGACCCTTGTCGGAGCATCTAAAGCAGCGAGACATTTGCGTCTATTTGGCAGGCCTTCAGGGTCCCTCGGTAATTTCGTTTCTCCAGCTTCCGGCCGGCGCAGTGGCATCTGCATCAGGAACTCGACATGAAGAGGTGGGTGGAGCTCTCCCGTGGTCCGGGCATTTGGCAGCTCAGAACACGCGGATGGCGTCACCTGTTGCTCGTCGCCCCCTGTAGCCTTACGCCTGGGCCATTGAAAGATTCAACGCGAATCTACGTTCCTGAGAACGCCCCCCCTCCACCCCCACAAACTCTACAGATCCTCTGCAGGAAGCCATGATCTCCCGCCTCTCACCTGGGAGCCCATGAGATGACCGAGCTATGAACGATGCTTCCCCGCCTATCTCGCCGGCGTCCCCAACAAACTCGACTGCCAACCAGCGCGACGAAACCCACGTCCTAGACGGTCCCTCGTCTGCAGGACGCGACCATGAACCCGGCACTCGGTCGTCGCGGCGGCGACGGCGGCGAAAGACGATCAAGCCCGACGCTGGACTCGTCAAGAAGTTTGATTTCATGACGCATCTGCTGAAGAACCTCGACATGCTCGTCTATGCCGAACTCGGGGCGCAATACTACATGGAGTATGTCCGCTTCCTCCACCGGATACCATCGACAGCCCACTAACGTCATGCCCAGATGCTCTGCCGTTCGCTTCTTCATGCGAGCGTGGTGTCAGCAAAACTTCCTCAGTCCGAAGCCCGACGACTGGCCCATACCGCTGCCTGCCATCCAGGCGCAGATCCTATCCGTCTTCTTCCCGGCGCTGTTGTGCGTTCTGGCGCACATCTTTGAAGCGCTGCCAACGGCTGGTGAGACGTCGCGCGGCTATCTGCACGGGGGCATGATTGTAGATTTTATCGGCCAAAGGCCTCCCGCGTCGAGGCTGACCCTTCTTGCCCTGGACCTGGTGATATTGGCTGTTCAGGGGCTCATGCTCGCAGGTCACGTCGAAAGAGAGAGACTCCGACTGATCACGCGCCCGAAACGCTCGCGGCTCATCACGGCGCTTTCCGAGGATCTCGGCGCTGCGGATTCGATACCCGAGGGACGTGAACATCACTCTGACGAAAACCATGGTGCAGCCGTGGCGGACGGGGTGGACAATGGAGGCATGGAGATGCAGTCCCTCCGAAGAAATGACAGCCAACCTTTGGGCGCAGAAGGGGACGCGGAAGAGCGGCGACCGTTTCTCTCTGATACCCCAATAGCGCTGCCGACGAGGAGGATCGCACTGATCGACGTCATGAACTCTGGAAACGGCATGCTTCGAGACTTGGACGTCTTCCACACGTTGCGCAACTCGACGCCGGACTTTTGGGGCGCCATAGGCCACGCGCTTCAGTCGATAGGGTACCAAGCCACACTGGCTCGGATCGCAGGCCGCGCTCGGACGCTGGCATTCGGGAGTAATCAGACAGCAAGATAGAATCGCAACGCTACACTGCAGCGCGATGGCGCAAACTCCGCGCATCAAAAAAAAAAAAAAAAGGGCAAAGAAGAAAAACATCGCTTGTACATTCTTACAGTTGGTATCTCATGCTACCTTGCGTCCGACGTTGCCCACACCGCTGCCCTTGACCGACACGATGATGTCGTCCGTATCGTCCTCGTTTACGTCCCTCAGACCCCAGCTGCTGGCGCCAAACGTCCGCAGGTCGCGCGCCAGGCCAACGACCTCCTCCGTGCCCACGACGTCCCTTCCTATCCTCAACCTGCCGACGTCCTCAGACCCCATGGCCATCAGCGTCAGCACGGTGCTCGCCGACACGCGGCTCACGCAGCCGCCCTGCGCAATCGTCTCGAGCAGCTGGTACGCGCACTGCTTGCCAATGTCCTCGGGCACGACGCCGCCGGTGGGCGGCGCAACGAGGTCGGCCGAGTAGATGACGCCGACGGAACTCGACTCGGCGACGAGGCTCAGGCCGAAACCGATGCCCGTCCGCGTCTTGGTCTTGTCGGCCCCGGGGATGAGGGGCGCCTGGTCGTATTGCGCGGCAATGTGAATGTCCGAGACGAGCGGGTTGAGGACCTCGCGCGCGGCGTGGATCAGCCGGCTGTTGTTCGACGCCGAGACGCCCGTGCAGTAGGCGACGCCGCGGATCCGCTTTATCCTGCCGGGCCCGCGGTTGAGGTGCAGCGTCTTGGGCAGGCGCACCTGGCTGGCGAAGCGCAGCTCGACGATGCCGCCGCCGCCGCGGCCGCCCTTGCCGGGACAGGAGCGCTGCAGGATGCGCAGCTCGATGCGCGCGGGCGGGATGCCGAAGAGGCCGAAGAGGGGCAGGATGGCGGTGCGGAACGAGTCGACCGAGATGTCGCCCGTCTGGGTGGCGGATGTGATGACGCCGGGCCCCGAGATGCGAATGTTCATGTGTGCTTTGGAGAAGGGCGCGAGGAGGCAGATGGGCAGGAGGAAGTAGGTGACGCCGCGGTTGTTGTTGGCGGGCAGGGTGTGCTCGATGACATCGCCGTCGGTGGCGCCAAAGCCGGCTATCGTGCCGGTGATGAGGCCGGGGTGGTATGTGATGGTCGTACCGGTGTACGAGATTTGCAGCGAGCTGCCGTTGGTGACGGCCTCGAGGAGACGGAGGAACGAGACCTCATGCGGGGCGAGACCGGGATGTGTTGGTGATGAGCTTCGAATCTTGGAGATGTGAATGGGACGGCCGGTGAGTGTCGACAGGATCAGACGCTGAGCGAAGGCCCGGTGGCCTGTGAAGCGGAGGAACTCTGGCGACGAGGACATGGTGACGGTCGCTTGCGTCGTCGACCAGCAGGCGTAGCTCTTGGGTCGAGGCTCAACGGCTTCTCGTTAGGCGGGCAAATGCAATGGCTTCAATGGGAGGAGAAAATAATCTTTTTCTGCCGCGGCGTACCAGTCGAGCAAGATCTGAGGAGAGAAGGCGGTCGGAATTTTCGGTGGGGGGTTTGGTGGATTACGATAAGATAAGGCGCCGATTAGATTTACGAATCCAACTTCCTTCCGCGTCGCGCGTTGTCGTCAGGGTCCATCTAAAAATCTCTTGATGTCTTCAGCGGTTGCAATTCCCTTTCCGAGCAAGTCTTGATTGCGAGCTGTCGTGTGGTTCTCATGTCTCAACGCACCCTTTTTCGCGACCTGCAATGTCGAAACAATTTTGTCTGCCAGTCGTGCCTCTCAACCTTGGCAAAGCCCGTTCCTGTGACCTGGCAGACCCGACAGAATAGCTCACAAGCAGCCCAGCGCCACCGAATACAAACCCAAGGACGTCGCAACCCTCGAGCCTCCGCAGGAACACCAACACAGAACTCCTTCTCGCTACCGATAGGCAATAATGGACAGGCTGGTCACTCGGGAGGTGCTGCTGCCGCCGCGCTCCTCCGACAGCTTCTGAACAAGGAAAAGGAGGCGACGATGCGATTTTTCGACAAGGATGAAAAAGGGGCCATCACCGAACTCCCCAACGACGACGCCTTCTCCGATGCTCTCAACGGCAAAGGCGAACTGGAGAAGGAGTTCAAGCTCGACCTCGCATCTGACATGCGGCAGCTTCTGGGCGCTTTGAAGCAGGATGGAAGCTTAAAGAAGCTGGGCATTGATGACCCCGACGCCGTGGCGAAAGATCTCGAAGCACAGCTGGGCAATCTCGACGATACTGAAGGTCTCGGGGAACGATTCGACGAATACATCAAGGAGTTGGAGGACAAACTGGAAGCGCAAGGGCTTCGGATGGACCGCCTGACGAACATGGACGACGACGACTTTGAGAATGATTTTGAATTCTTGGATCAACCAATCGCAAAGCCCAAGACGCGCCGCCCAGTACCACAAATCCCGACCGAAATGTGGACCTACAACCAAAGAAGACGGCTCAGTCGCCTCAACGCCATTCTCGAGCGTGTCGACAAGCAGCTCCGGCTGCGTGAGGCGATTACGGCCAAGACGGTGCAGTCAGTCTGGAAGGCATACAATCTGGCTCGGCAAACACTCGCCAAAGGTTGGGCCAATGTTCCGCAGGAGGTGTGGGATCTGCTCTGGGCCATCTTGTCCGTGGAGGACGCTGTCAACCCCAGTCGTTTCGCCTTCCTGTCTCTGCTAGCGCGGGATATGAGCGAAGCGAAAGTTGCGCTGAATCCGTCGCAGCAGTTGATCACGATGGAGGCGCTTTTCGTAGACGGTTTCGAGGCGAAGGCGATCGACAACTGGAAAAGATGCATGTCGACACTCGGCGACAGCGGGTCTGACACGTTCCAGGAGTTTTGGGAACTGGGCGTCCGCATGTCCTGTCAGGCAGAAGACCTCGTGCAGGCAGAGAGGGCGATCAACAAGCTCCTCGAGCGACAGCTGGACCCTCGTATCCTCATGCCCTATATCCGGACTTGCGCGGCGCAGCCAACAGATGAGATGCAAGAGAAGGCCTGGAACGCATATCGACGAATGAGAGACCTCCTCGGGGAATCTATGGGATTGGAGGACTACGACCAAGTGATTGCCTTTTTCCTGACGACGAACCAGACCGAACGTGCCCTGTTCGCGTTTGTCGACATGATGACCTCAGGCACCGTTGATCTCCGCGGCGTCACGCAGCTGCCGTCCAGCATTGGCAACAAGTTCTTCTTCGGCAAGTGGCTCAAGCGGCTGATCGGTGCGGGCGACTTGGATGGTGCCCACAGCGTCTTCCAATTCATGTGTTCCCGAGGCATCCAGCCTGCGAGCATACAGATCAACGGCCTGATCGGCGCATGGCAGCGAAGCGGCGGCGCAGACGATCTGCAAAAGGCCGACAAGCTCGCATGGGACATGGTCAGGGCGCGCATCCGCTTTGTCGACGCCCGCAGGCGCCTCGCGGGGCTGGAGGGCGGCGCGTACATGAAGGACGCCAAGACGAGCAGCATCCACGAGGCCGACCCAATGCCCAAGGCGACCCTGGAGACGTTTTCGCTGCTGGCGGAGAACTACCGGGTGCGCAGGCTGCAGAAGCCCATGGAGGACCTCTGGGTTGCCTTTAGAGAGGCCGAGATCAGCCCCGACGCGTTCATGCTGAACCAGCTCATGGAATCCCACTCGCAGTTCGGGGACATTGACGAGGCGCAGGAACTGTACCGATCGCTCGTGCACGAGCGCGGCGTCAAGCCGGATCCGTACACCTTTATGGCCTTGTGGAAGATGATTGGCGTCAACAGGCTGCAGATTCTCTCCGAGGACCGCGCGGCTGGGGAGATTCGGCTCACGCGAGAGACGTTTGCCGAGACGGTCCGTTTCGCGCACGTCTTCAAGGGCCAGAGCCTCGACGGGCAGCTGGCGCGCAAGATGCTCCACACGTTCCGCCGGCTGAAGGACAACCTGGGCCTCGTTGTGGCGATGCGTGCGCTCCGGGGCGTGTTTGGCTATGTCCCGCCCGAGGTTCTGGGCCTCGAGATGGTCATTGGAACGACCAACCTCGCGTGGGACACGGCGACGGCACGGCAGAAGCTGCGACTCGCGAAGCGCAAGATCGACAAGTGGGTCGAGGACAGGCAGAAGCAGCTTGGCAGACCGGTGCGGACGCTCGACGAGATGACGCCCGAAGAGCGGGGGCAGGAGATGATGGAGTACCTAGAGAGCGAGTATCTGCCTGCGGCACGAAACGTCGAGGCCGATCTCGCCGATGTCGCTCGTGAGATGGGCGTGTACGATATTGTAAAAAACCACTAGGCCGAAGGGCAGAGCCCCGGCCGTCCTGTACCATCTCCAAAGATATACCATACTCAGCATAGAGAAGAAGGGAAGGCGTCGCGGGAGCACGTCATGTATTGATACGAGAATTCAAAGAGAAACTTTCCTCGGAATTTTGCTGTCTAATCGTGGTCTTCTTCCGTCAGCCCAGGACAGCCGTCCATGGTCTCGTCGGGGTATTTGAATTTGCACCAGAAGCAGTAGTTGAACTCGTCCCTCATATAGGCCACCAGCCGCTTCAGCCTTTCCGGGGGCTCGAGAATCCTGAACTCGTCCAACTCCGGGTCCTCCTCGTCGAGGTCGTCGGCCACCTCGTAGACCGTCGTCTTGCCCTTACCCAGCGCCCTCTTGTCATCCTCGTCCTCGTCCTCGTCCTCATACGTCGGCAGTCGTGACAAGCTCTGTTCCAGATCATGCCGCATCCTGCGGTCCCTCTCCCTCTCCTCCCGCTGTCGCGCGAGCCCGCGCCACAAGACGTTGACAGCCTTCAACGGCCTCGCCTTGATCCTGCGGCGCCCGCCCTCCTCCTGCGTCACCTCAGCCTCCGCCTCCTCCGCCATGCCCTCGAGGATCCTCTGGGCGCTCGCCACCATCCTCTCAACCCTCTCAGCCTCCCTCTCCCTCGCAATGCGATCACGATACTCCCCCGGCTCCTCGACCCTAACCCTCTTCCTCCTCTCAGCCTCCTCCCCCGCTGCCGCCTCCTCCGCCTCGCGCGCCCGCCGCCTCTTCTCGCTCTCCATGCCGATCCCCCCGCGGTCCTCCTTGACGTCCTCGGCGGCGTGCTTGTGCGCAGCGCCCTCGCCGCCCGGCGCCTTCATGTGCCTCTCTCGCCGGCGCCGCAACCACAGCCGCGCAAGCCCCTCGTCGTCGTCGCGCCCCTTTTCCTCGGAGAAGAAACACTCCGCCCTCCGCCGCGCCGCCTCCTCCACCTCGTCCTTTGGCAACTTCATCTCCGAGCCGATCCCCAACGACGCCTCGGCGCTGCGCACCGACTTTATCCTCCAGACGCCCTCGACAGCAGGAGCAACAACACGACAACAGCAAAAGCGC